TTGTTACTACTAGTAAGGCACTTGTTTCTACTAGTAAGGCACTTGTTTCTACTAGTAAGGCACTGGTTTCTACTAGGCTTCTTGTTACTAGTAAGGCACTTGTTACTAGTAGCGATGCACTTGTTACTACTAGCGATGGCTGTCCTCTATCTCAGGACCTTCGGCGCTTGGAGTTCGACCCTCCCTGCCTGGGTAAATGGACCTGACGAAGACGCATTTGATCGAAGACCACCGTCGAAGAAGGAGGGATGAAAAAAGGAAGGCAAGGCCTAAAGCTGCCTTGTTCAAGGGGGCTTTACCTTTCTTTTTCCACATCCAATTCACTTGACGTTTCATCTACCTGAGACAGTTTCACATTGGCATGTCTCACGCTGGAAGCACACACGCGCACACATTCCCACAGAACTTCTAAGCGTTTAGCTTTTCCTTTCTTCATTGATTTACCTTTCCTGCATGGCTTTGTCTGGAAACATTTCAAGCAAACCGTGACAAGCCTCGCGCGAGACCTAACCCGGAGCACAGGTGTCCTCATGGACACCTTGATTGTTTCTGAGTGCTTGTTTGGGTGAGCAGGTCTTGAAAAGACATGTTTGACAGATCCATAAAGGTTGGGATTTCGATCTTTGTGAGAAAACGACGGGTTTTTTACACCCCACCGCGGGCTCGTCCTTTTTGCCGCAAACACCTGCGCTGATGCCGACATGGCGCTGTGCAGAGTTTTGGAACCAGAGCCCTCGTGGCTGTCGTGGCTTCAAGCAATCATAGCTGCCATAGCTTCTTCGAGTTCTGACATCTCTTCACGTCTTTTTGAGGTGGATCCAACGATTGAACAACATGTCAACAATCCTTGTATTGAAACTGAGAAACAAACGGAGTTCTCTTGCATTTGTTCGAGAAGGACTCCAGAAGTCTCTGCCATGCCTTTCCGGAAAAAATGACAGAGAAGAAGCATCCAACAAGTTGGTGGGTTCGTCTATCAAAAGGTCTGCTGTCAGGCCAATGTGTAGGACATCTGGGATGAACCACACTTCAAACCCCATTGCCCATCCAGGTGCCAGAACTCACCTTTGGTTATTGGAGACTTGCGCTCACCTCCTTATACAGAATCACACGATGGAAAGAAAGAAACAGCGGAAACAATTCCTTTTTGCAGGAACACACTCGTCTTCCACCAATGCTATGCCATCGACGGTCTGCAGAGGGCAACAAACCTGTTTGGTTCCACTACTCTCTGACCACAATCCCTTCATGCTTCTTGTTTCTAATAGCTTCTTGTTACTACTAGTAAGGCACTTTTTACTAGTAGCGATGCACTTGTTTCTAATAGCTTCCTAACGATCTTGGATGATTCTCCTCTGGGCAGCTGTTCTTCAGCTCCCAGTGCCAAACTCGCCAAATGGCCAAGCCGGGTGAACCCGGTATGGGTGATCTGAAACCACAAACGAGAGCTTCTCTGTCACTCGAAAAGGTAAACGGCCTGACACGAAGGCCATACGACGCACACACTGAATGAGGAGCACATTGCGACTTCTATCGAAGTCTCATCCAACCTAATAGCAATGGCCTCCAACCTAGAAGCGACCACATTTGAACTATAGAAGTCTCCAACAATGGTTTGAACAACGCGTACGAATTTCTGACGCGACGTTGCGGCTACGGGATGTTTTCCCTTTCACCTTTTTGAGCGGAGTTTACGCAAGGCAAAACCGCACACATGAACGTGCTACTAGTAACCAGGGCATCGCTACTAGTAACAAGGGCATCGCTACTAGTAACATGGGCATTACTAGTAACAAGAAACTACTAGTAGCTAAGTGTGCTGCTGCGCGTCTCCACATGCTGTCAAGAGAATATCGTGGCCAACGAAAGGATCCCACGATGTGAAGAATGGTCTGAAGACAAACAGGAAACAACAGGATAACACAATTACCGAGGTACTAGTAGTTTCCAAGGTCTCCTAGATGACCTCCAACCTAACACCGATGGCCTCTAACCTAGAAGCGATGGCCTCCAACCTACTAAAAAACAGGTGACTAAGAAAGCAACCGAAAAGAATTTGTTTCTCTCAACAACCTCATGGCGACTCGCCCGATATCCTGCCTCAGCTCCCATGAAAGCGCGAATCGCTGGTGGCCCAGCGCAGGGCCGCGGTTGCTCGAGGAGCTCCGCCTAGGGACGGAACAAACACTTTGTGTTTTTTGACGTTCAATACTTTCCTTTTGGCCTGGGGGTGGGTTGGGCTGTGAGGTAAGCTTATTTGGGTAGGCATTAGCTACCATTGGACTCATGCTTCAAGGACGCTCCCCTTGTGATGGCTGGGGAAGCTTCCTCGAAGAAGCCTGAGCCTTCATGATTTGGTTCCTAGATTGTTGGGTATGATTTAAGCACAATCTTGGAACGAGTGGAAGCACACAAGCAAACTTGTTTAGTAATTCCATCAACCGGATTCTGTTTCCATCAACACGTGAGGGCCGTAGTGTATGAACCGTTGTGTTCGTTGAGTGAATTTCTCGTCTTGATATATTCCAATTTTTTCGAGCTGTCGATCCCTACTGACCCAGCAAAAGCAAAGGTGATGGTAGCCACATGTGGTAGCTGCCTGTGCTTCAGAAGGTAAGAATACAAGAGCAAGGGGTCGAAAGAAAAAGCAATCTAGGAAAATACAACAAAAACAGGACAACAAAGCAAAACAGTTTAAAGAAAACAGAAAAAAGGTCTACAGAAAAGACACATGTCTAAAGAAAACGTGAAACAAGTTTAGAGATAACTAGACGACGGATGGCCCGGGAGCGTGGAAGGACATGTAGAAGAGGGTGTGCGTAAAAGATGCGCGTAAATACATTTAAGTTTTATAGCTGCACTTGCGTGTATGCTATTAGATGCTACAAGTCTACAAGTATATGTGCAGCTCGCACGTTTCAAGAGTTGTTGCTGCGGATGTAGTGAGATGAGACTCACGGACGCCGCGCTCCAATCAAGAATTTACACCAGCGTGCTTTCCTTCCCCCAATGGCACGGACCCAGGCAATCGCACCTTCCACCTGGCCACGCGAACCGCATGGCACAGCGACATCACAGACATAATGGGGCCACACAGTGTGCAACAGACTGGATACAATGTAAAATTAAGCGTTGTGGGCGCCGCCAGTCATCCCGCTCCCCAGGGACACGCCGAATTTACGCCAGCATGTCTTCCTTCCACCAGTTGCACGGACTCACACATGGACTTTCCACCGCAGCAGCGCAAAACTGCATGGTGCAGCGATATCGCGGACGTAGTTTGGACACATCCTGTGCTGCTTTCGCACTACAAAGCTACCACTTCTGAGGCCACAGCTGGTAGAATTGTCTTCCCACGCGCATTTGTACTACCAAGTTCCCAGTTCTGCTGCCACGGCTCCTAGAAGCTGCTGCCCTGGATCTCGTACTACGTTTGCCAAGTGGGTAGTTCTCAATTTAAGCCACCTCCCACAAGCTGCTTCCTGCGCTACATTTAATACTCCCAAGTGGCAAGTTCTGACGCCACAGCTCCTAGAAGCTTCTTCCCCCGCTATATTTGTGCTACCAAGTTCCCAATTCGACGACAGTTACACACTTTGGCAACTTCCGGCACCATTTCCGACGACAGTTGCACACTCCGTCAATTAAATTCGCATTTCATTTCACGTTTGAGCATTCCAAATGCACTATCTCCGAAGAGGGTTGACCGCGCTGACGCGAAAATTGAATATACCCTCACGTTTGAGCGCTCGACATGCAGGATTTCCGAAGAGGGCGCTTCACGTTTGAGCGCGCTTTTGGGTCTGGGCGGCCAGCACAGTGACAATCGGCGCGCGTGCTTGTGCAACTGGAGATTGAGCCGCAATGCCTACTACCTGGGGGGTCAATTAGCGTGCTGACAGCTAGGAAGCGGGTCATTTCTTTAAATTCATGGTGTCATTTCCCAACAAATGACAGTGTTGGTGTGATTGCTGTTATAAAGTAAGCGCTTTTTCCGTGCTCATTGGGTCTGCAGGAGTTCAATCGTTTACAAAAGAAATGCTCAATGGTCCAGAAAGTAACCCGGCGCGCCGGGCGCAAACAGTTTCAAGATTGGCTATGTTCGGCTATTTGTGGCTTCTTATTCACGGAGGCCGCTCTAAACGGCGCATACTTGTAGGATCCGGCGCGATCTAGGCAGCTAGAGACCAAAAGGGGCGCTCGCAGATATCGCCGGGCACTGCTAACCCTGGCCGATGCGTAGGATGCTTCACAGGGAAACAATGGGATATCGGGCGGTACTATTCGTTGCTTGTCTATCTGTGGGGAAACTGCGCTACGGGCATATGTCTATATAAATAAATAAATAAATAAATAAATATATATGTATATATATATATATTTGGGAAGAGTTGCTGGTGGCCATATTCATGGCCAAGGTTAAAGAGAGTAGCGCCGGGCGCTCCCATCCAACGATAGTAGCACCGGGCGCGCCAGGCGCTGCCGTCCAAAGATAGTAACGCCCTCCAAAGATACACGCCAGGCGCTAGCAATCATTAAAGATGGGCTCTTGGTGATTTTCTAGGCGGCTAGAGATCAAAAAGGGGGCCACAAAGTTAGTGATGGCACTCCATGGCACTACTATTTATTGCGTATTTGTGGACAGTGCGCTACCGGCTGACACATAGGATGCTTCACTGGCGACAGATGGGGGTACCACAGCCGGTGTTGGACGCTACAATGTATTGCTCATCAATTTCTGGACACTCTGCTTCAGGCAAAGATATATGGGATGCGTAGCCCCTCGCGCTGCCATCAAAAGATCGTCACGCCCGGCGCTGCCATCAAAAGACAGTAACACCCTGCAGCTGCTTCATGATGGATAGGCCAAGAGGCGACGAGGTCCTAAACTAATATAATATGAAACATTTTGTGGTGTCACGCAAAGGTGTTCATTCCAGAAGCTAATGTCGAGCTTACGGCCGCTGGCTTTCAAACTTGATGGTTTTTCCTTTTCCCAGCAGTGGCTTTCATATCCAATGGTCACAACTCCTGGTAGCTCTAAAGAAGCAAAAATATTTTTGTTGAGTACACCGCAAGAGGTCATGCACACACTTCCAGAAATAATGTCGAGCTTACGGCCAGCGGCCGTAAGCTCGACAGTAAAACGGGGTGGCCCAACATAAGCAAAATCTAGGCGTCGGAAGTCAGTGTTGAGCTTACGGCCAGCGGTAAGCACGGCGATATTTTTCTGACATGAACACCTTTGCGTAACACCCGACAATTTTTTTCATATTAGCTCAGAACCTCGTCGCCTCTTGGCATATCAATCATGAAGCGGCTGCCGGTGTTGCTATCTTTTGATGGCAGCGCCCGGCGCGCCGGGCATGACTATTTTTTGATGGCAATGGCAGCACCTGCTGCGCCGGGCGTGACAATCTGTTGGTGGCCGCGCCCGGCGCGCCTGGCGTGACAATCTCTTGATGGCAACGCCCAGCACGCCGGGCGTGACTATCTCTTGAGGGCAGCGCCCGGCGTGCCGGGCGTGACCATTTTGTGACGGCAGCTCCCGGCGCGCCGGGCGTGACTATGTTTTGATGGCGCCCAGCGCGCCGGGCGTGACAATCTTTCGACGGCAGCGCGAGGGGCTACGCATCCCATATATCTTTGCCTGAAGCAGAGTGTCCAGAAATTGATGAGCAATACATTGTAGCATCCAACACCGGCTGTGGTACCCCCATCTGTCGCCAGTGAAGCATCCTATGTGTCAGCCGGTAGCGCACTGTCCACAAATACGCAATAAATAGTAGCGCCATGGAGTGCCATCACTAACTTTGCGGGCACCTTTGGATCTCTAGCCGCCTAGAAAATCATCGAACTAATAGCCCATCTTTAATGATTGCTAGCCCCCGGCGTGCCGGGCGTTACTATCTTTGGACGGCAGCGCCTGGCGCGCCGGGTGCTACTATCGTTGGATGGCAGCGCCGGGCTACTATCTTGAACCTTGTCCATGAATAGTCACCAGCAACATCCGGAGCACCTGGCAACGTACCTTGATTGTGCTGTTGCATGTTGTTGCTGAGGCACCCTGATGGCGAGGGTTAGGCTAGACAGTCGAAATCATTGGCCACCGTGCTCCACCTTCCCTTGAACTCCCTGGACCTAAGAGTTGTGCCATTTCTGATTTGTTATTCCAAAAAAGTAAGGAGCTGACAGTATGTCCTCCTCAATTTCATTCTAAGGTGGTAGGGATGCGCCGCGGCCCGCCGATGGACATGCGACGTGGGCACTGCTGCCGATCCACTGACACGTCGTTTAGCATGGGGACATACCGAGGTAACCTTGCACCTTGCCGCTGTGCGGCGGGACGTGCTCGCTGCCCGGTACTCTAGCTAAGGTCACTCGTGCCTTCACTTAGGCGTATGCCTCGGCTGCTTTGACGGTGGCTGGTGGGCTGCGCCGTGGTCTACTCCTACTACTACATTTGGCAGTGTAAACGTCCATGTGTTTGTCTCCGGCCGACTGGCCGAAGTACACATCCTGTGGCGTAAATTCGGGAGTTCCGGCACATCTATGGGTGATCACTTCGAAGCTGATGCCGAAGTCTGCAAGCTTCAATGTTGCGACCGGGCTCCTGTCGGATAGCCTTGACTGCGAAGCTGTTTGAGAAACCAAGGTCGTAAGACGGAAACAAAAAGAGTTTGTTTAAACTTGATTTTGATCGCTGCCTTGCAGAAGCTTAATCGACATGCGCGATCCCCGCAAAGGGTTCATGAGCCCAGCTGGAATTCGCATTTCGCCTCACGTTTGAGCACTTGACACGCACCATGTCCGCAGAGGGTTCATCCAGCACAGCCGGAATTCGCATTTCGCCTCGCCTCGCCTTTGAGCACTCGACACGCACGATCTCGGCAGAGGGTAACCTTTTGCAAGCCCTGTCCGGCCAGGCCCCCACCTAAGAGAGAATAGATAAATAGCCGAGATGTGTCAGCCACGCGCGAACAAACATATGTTTCACCCTGTGGTCATATATGTTTACCTCTAAATTTATGTTTACTGAAGCAAGACCCCAGCGAAAGTTATACTTGATTTTGAACATGAAGTTGCTTAAGCAAGATCAAAGCGCAAGTTATCCAAGCAACGTCCCAGCACCAGAGCAATGCTAGCGTAGCTGCAGATCTACACAATCATACCTGCGAGAGCCGCAAATTTACTTCTAGCATACATACAAATGCAGCTGTACAAGTCCCAAATGTATTGATGCACATGTGTATATCTACAGAAGAACCCTTCGCAACGCTCCCAGGGAAAACAATAAAGGCAGGTCAAAACACGCAAATCAAAAAAAAAGCGATTCCCTGAATGAATCCCTTGAATCCCTGTCTCGCGTCGTTACCAGCCTCCTTTCCGTTGGCCTTTGCCTTTCTTGGCTCGTCGCGGGCTGGGCAAGCCGCACAACCTGCTTTTGTTGCGCACGTGTTGTGCTCTTTGGGTGCATCAATGACACACGGTCTACTGTTTGGATTTGACAAATGCCCACCTCTTTTGGCGACAGAGGCGTTGAACTAGCTAGAGTGGGACATGTTCTCCTGCATCATGACTGGAGTTTGGGGGAACCTACGCTATGAAAACAATCCAAGCAAACTTGAGCTTTTCAATGTATATCCAGAGATACTCCGAGCATTTCTGAGATTGTAACTAGATCGTCGGATCCAGGACGCAACCCGAAAGCCCAATGATCCGGCTTGGTCTGCCTGCGTGACCAAGTACTCTCTTGGAACACTGTTGAGGGGCCCATCTTCATCAATTTCCTTTTGGACCTTACTACTAGGAACAAAGGGCATCGCTACTAGGAACAAGGACGCTACTAGGGGCTCCAGGCGTCGCTACTAGGAGCAAGAAGCTACTAGGAACAAAGAAGCCGTGAAGTACGACCTTTCTTCATCCTTTTCCTTTTGGATCCTTAGACCTTTAGACTCTTTCTTTACGTTGGAGGCCAGTACTACCAGTAGCTAGAAGCTACTAGGTTGGAGGCCATTGCTATTCGGTTGGAGGCCATCGGAAGCAGGCAGGGGGAGCTTCCTTGAAGCGTGAGCTATGCTGCATCCTAGGTAGGAGCGTTCTTATAACTACCTTTTCCTGTTCCTAGGTAGGCACTTGCTTCTAATAGCGAACCTTGTTACTACTAGTAAGGCACTTGTTCCTAGTAGCGTGGCACTTGTTACTACGTTTGCTACAGTTTGCTACCTCTTCTCGGCCCACCCCTCCCCCTGCTAGTAGGAACAAGTGCATCGCTAGTAGTAACAAGTGCCTTACTAGTAGTAACTAGAAGCTATTAATTTAATCTAATTTTAATTCTAATAGCTTTTTGTTACTACTAGTAAGGCACTTGTTACTAGTAGCGGAGTTGGTAGCTAGGGAGAGGTAGCCTACCCCTCCCCCCGGGCTTTTTTTTTTGCTCTTCCGGGCCTGGAGGCTCCACTCACCGACTCGAAGTACCTGTCTCGAGGTCTGGTCGCTTTCGGCAATCCCGAGTCACAAAGGTACAAAACATGTTTACTTTCTATACTGAGGATTAGTGATCATTTCAATCAGGAAACATGTAAAGTGGCCATAGGAGGTGAACATTGAGATGATGGCCTGTGAGGCCAAATAAACAAAAACACCATACTATATATATATATATTTGTACAAACAACAGTAAATATAAGCGGTTGACAAAACCTATAGGCACATAATTATATCCCCACATATTTCTTTAAAGGGATGTCCCATATCGCTCTACAGTGTTTCGAATACCGCTATTGCTTTTCAAAACTTTTAAGCGAAACATAAAACATATACAGCAGTATAACTAAAACATCATACATGAAACACACACACAGACATACATATATTGATCAACATCCATTTTTCTAACAGATTTGCAACAAATTTCACAAATAATACGAACACAAACCCAATCATAAACACCAATCATTTTTTGACCTTCAATTTTTGGATATCCAATCTCTACAATACATTTTGCATTTTGTAATGAAATAATCACTATCACTATTTGGCCACACATAGTTCTAAACCCGAATTATATAATATTACATTATGAAAATACCATTAAATATCTTTGATAAACAACATTGGTTATCCAAAGTTTAAGGATGCATTTCAATAGTCTCATCAAAACTATTTCCCCAATAGCCATGCTATGGGGTCTTGCAAAACTAATAGGCGGACGGGTGCCGTCGGGTCACCGTCCGAGCTGGTGGGCGGATGGTGTCCCGGTCATGTTTTGATGGCGTCCGGGTCATGTGATGCTGGTGTCCCGGTGTCCCGATCATGTTTTGATTGTGACTCAATCATGTTGTGATGGTGTCCCGGTCCTGTTTTGATGGTGTCCCGGTCATGTTGTGATGGTGTCCCGGTCATGTTGTGATGGTGTCCCGGTCATGTTGTGATGGTGTCCCGGGCATGTTTTGATGGTGTCCCGGTCGTGTTGTGACGGTGTCCCGGTCATGTTTTGATGGTGTCTCGATCATGTGATGGTGGCGCGGTCATGTTGTGATGGTGTCCCGATCATGTTTTGATTGTGTCCCAGTCATGTTGTGATGGTGTCCCGGTCCTGTTTTGATGGTGTCCCGGTCATGTTTTGATGGTGTCCCGGTCATGTTGTGATGGTGTCCCGGTCATGTTTTGATGGTGTCCCGGTCGTGTTGTGACGGTGTCCCGGTCATGTTTGATGGTGTCCCGGTCCTGTTGTGATGGTGTCCTGGTCATGTTTTGGCGGTGTGCCGGTTATGTTTTGATGGTGTCCGGGTCATGTGACGGTGTCCCGGTCATGTTGTGATGGTGTCCTGGTCATCTTGTGATGGTTTTCCCGTCATGTCATGTTGGTGTCCCGGTCACCTTGTGATGGTGTCCCGGTCATGTTGTGATTGTGTCCCAGTCATGTTGTGACGGTGTCCCAGTCATGTTGTGATGGTGTCTCGCTCATGTTGTGACGGTGTCCCGGTCATGTTTTGATGGTGTCCCGGTCATGTTGTGATGGTGTCCCGGTCATGTTGTGATGGTGTCCCCGTCATGTCATGCTGGTGTCCCGGTCACCTTGTGATGGTGTCCCGTTTATGTTGTGATGGTGTCCCAATCATGTTGTGACGGTGTCTCGGTTATGTTTTGATGAAGGAAGAGATGGTCGATGTGTTGAAAACAGCAGCTGTTTCCAGATTTTTCTTTTTGTCCCGGTTTGTATCTTGCTATTGGGGTCTCCAGCTGGGCTAATTCCTCAAAACGAACAAGTATTACTTTAATCATTGATGATTAATATATATAGTTATCAAACTCTTGACATTTTTCTTCCACGATAAGTTCAAATGTGTATTCATGTATGTATAAAGGTTCAACCAAATTTGAAAAGGACAATGATTGATCTGACAAAACAGTTCAGTGGTTGCATTGTGTATATATATATATATTGACTATTAATACTATTAATGTAATGCAATTCTATTATTGCATATGATGAATATATCTTTAAAGAATGAACTGTGCCACAATCAACACCGTTTTGAAGCACATCAACAGCTGGTTTCAACAAAAATGAGCATGCCATTTGATCTTGTGAACTTTGGAGAACATATTTTGGTTAGTATCGGGTCTGTTCTGAATAGAAACACATGGCACTGTTTTGGTAAAGGATCACCATTCTATCTGTGTGGAAGGTTTTACAAAACCGAAGAGTCTGTTGCATTACATTTGCATTTTCGATATACTAAGCACATATTCTTTGGTTGCCTATAATTGCACTGAACATCAAACGCACTTCAAGATGGCAGGTCATCTTCCCTACCAAAAGATTGTGAGTAAAAGGTCCTCATACTGACAAACGTTTCTTTCACGTTCTCGCAGTGATAGGTTTGGCCGTCAAGTTCTGCACTTGCTCAAAGCAAATCTAGAAGGCTTCTACGTCCCCAGAGGCTTCAGCTGTGTATTATATAGGGCTTGGACTACTCTCTACTTTCTACTCTGGGTATTTCATGAGTGACCGAGTATCTTTTCTTAGATTGGCACATGTGTGGCTCAAACAATCAAACACAAACAAAGAAGGCAAGACATCACCCGCAGCTTGGCTTCCGAAAGAAAGAACTTCGACTCCTTCGGATGGTCACAGGGAAGAGCCAATCACTCTTCTGGAACTACTGACTTTGCTTTCGGGACACCCAAACACCAATCTTCAATATTCCATAGGCATAAGCAGTTAAAGCCATACCCACATGCTTAAGCTTTTCAGTGTCTGAGATACTGCTTCAACCGCATCGAGATCAAAGGCTTGCTGTACGAGCTCCCATTCGAAGTAGCACCTTGGTCAGTCCAAACGATTGGCAGTTGGGTTGAAGAAAAGGGCAGGCTTGAATCTAGCATGAACAAGTGAAAGATCCTCCATTCATCCTTTGCACACAAAAGACATACTTACTGCTGCCTCTAAAATGCCTTGATATAGATGAAAGGACACTTATCGGAGGACCACAGCACAGTGATGGAAACCCGAAACAGTTCTGAAGAGGTGGAAGGATATTGTCTGGCTAGTAGTAACAAGAAGCTAGTAGTAACAAGTGCCACGCTAGTAGTAACAAGTGCCTTCCTAGTAGTAACAAGGTTCGCTATTAATTTAAATTTGATTCTAATAGCTTTTTGCGTCCGAACGCTCCTAGTAGCGATGCACTTGTTTCTAATAGCGAACCTTGTTACTACTAGTAAGGCACTTGTTACTAGAAGCGATGCACTTGTTACTAGTAGCAAGGCCATATTACTAGCAAGAAACTACTAGTAGCGATGGCCTTCAACCTTCTAGCAATGGCCTGCAGCCTAGTAGCTTCTAGTAGCAAGGTGCCTTGGTGCCTGTACCATCCTTTTCTCATATCCAACTATAAGTGTACATATGTACATATATATATATATATAAGCACAGCCGTCGGTCATTTTTTCACGCGTTGCAGCAGGTTTGTCCAAGAACAGAGCACCATCGGTGCATGAAAACACAAATTCTCCTCTTCGGGGCCCCGACACAGGTGAGTGCCCCCCAGTGCCCCCCAGGACTGCATCCGCCATACCGGAGCCCCCTGGGCCCGAACACTTAAGAGGAAGTCTCTTTTTGGGGTATCAGCCCACTACCCCTTTCATGCAGAAAAAAGACTCTTTTACTAGCTCTTCCACGTCCCCCTGACCTGGGCGCCTTGGGGCCCAGGCTCAAGGATCGGGTTCTGGAGGTAAAAACTTGCATAGGTCCGCAAACGCGAATTAGGAACCTGCATCTCAGACAACTGTGCGAGCCCTTCGTTCAGGTATATTCGGGCGGTTTTCGCTGCTGCCCACCGTCCTTGGAGCAGCAGCTTATCGAAGCTTCCGTGGTGTTGGAAGAAAAAAGTGGCGCCCCCGCGCCGTAACGAGTACGGACGCAGGCCCAGTGCGGCCAACTGAAGGCCCGCAATGGCTTGGTTAAAAGTCTTGCGCCAAACATGGGGTTTCGAAGTCAAGAAAGCGTTAGCTGAGCTCCGGCGCTTCCAACTATACAACGATGGCAGCACGGAAGTGTCTACTATCGTGACGCTTTCACTGGCCCCCTGACGGGCTCCTGACTTAGTTAGGCCAAGCGAGACAACCGCGGGTCCCTTTGGGCTGGAGATGTAAACATCTTTCGAGGTCAAGCTTAAAAGTTCGCCAGTTCTCAACAGCCCAAAGAACGCAACTCTCAGAGACAGGGCGAAGTCAGGAAGTCCTTGCATCACCGCCCAGCCGCAAAGCGCATCCAGCAACCCAATCGTCATTGGAGGAGCCCTGACAGGGATCTCCGCTGTCGACCAAGCTTTCAACAACCGCCAACTTCCTGGAAGCTTGCGGCGTAAGTTTGGGTCAAAATCCTGAAGCGCGGCAAGGGCGTTGTTTGCCTCAGATTTGCTATGCCCATCTGCCCACAAGTACTCTAAGTAGTCGCTGACCAAATTGTCCATTTGTGCAACACGTACGTGGTTGTACTGTCAAATCTTTCAACTTGCCAAGTTTTTGCCTTACGGCTTTCCGCTGCTGCTGACTGCGACCTTCTACTACTTTTGGTGCTTTCTTACCCATTTGCGATGGAGAGGCCGGCGGGACGGCTTGTCCGCCGGGTTCTGGTGTGTATCAATGTACCCCCAGGTACCTTGAAGGCCGCTGGCCAACAGCATAGCGGATATCTTGGCAAGAGATCTCCTGAGCTTTCTTGAGCTGGATCTTCCACGCGAGAGGGCATGTAGTACAACCAATGAATCAACGAGGTGTAGAAACCGAGCACGATGCTCCTTCAACTCCCTGATGTGCCAAGCCAATGAGGTCTTGACGGCTCGGAGCTCGAGTACGTTGATATGTTCGGGATCTCCTGTCCAGCGCCAGCCTGCCACCTCACGCCAACGCCATAGCTTGCCTGGGATAGATGCACGCAACCGGTGGTATCGGGCCGGAATGTCCGTCCCCATCTGAAGCAACAAGTCCTCGCCCTTGACAGAGATTTGTCCAAGGAGTTTGCGCGCAAGACCTGGCCCGGAAGATCCTGCCTGGGTGGTTCGACGCAACGGCGGCCGCAACAGGAGACTTGGGAGGTGGTCTTCCTCCCCTGGAGTCAGTCTTCTCACCAGCTCCTGAACACTCACGGGTTCAACGAAACCCAGCATGCAGAAGAGAGAGTGCAGTAGGTAACAGACCACCGGAACCGACCACGTATTACCTAGCAGCGTCAGGCGGCAGTCATTCCAGGCAGATGTGCCCTGCTGCCCTTTAGGATAGCACTTTGCTGTATAGTCCAAAGGAAAGCCAAGGATACACTCACGCTCTCGAACATTTGGAACACGCTTCACAACCCCATTGGTGACACAATTGACTGCTTTGTATTGGTAAGGCGGGAAGCGATGAGCGTCCTCCTTCCAAGGAGTCAAGTCCTCCTCGGTACACAAATCCAGCCCTGCGGGCTTTCGGCCAGGTTTGACAGATGGTCGAGAAGTGGTAAAGGTCGGAAAAACCTGGGTAGCCTCAACTCTGCGCCAACCTGCTTCCAAGAAGTCCTTCTCCTCTACTTCTGCCTGCAACTGCAACCTACCAGCCACGGGCAAGCGCTGATGTTCATCAACAACCTTGACAGTCCAAGGGCTCCCAGTTAAACCAGTAGAGTCTAGGCCTGCGGGCTAAGCTAATGCCACCTGCGTCAACAAGCCATGGGCGCCCCTCATACGCCTCATTCATAACTTCGCAGTCATTGACATCCATCGAAGCCACGTTTTCCGCAAGCCGAAAAACCGGACACCACCGGAAAAACCGACGCAGCAGCAACTCCACCCGTGGGACATGTGAGAGCAAGCTTGATCTAGCGTCACGCAATGCACCCTTTCGGTCACTGTTTAACCCCGAGACTCCCTGACACGGGGGTCCCGCTCCCAGGATGACAGCGCTCACTCCGGGGTACAGGAGACACCAACTGCTGACCTCGTTCTCATCGATGTCCTTGACGTCCACGATGTGCCTAACCTCCGGGAACCAACTTTCAACGACTCTTCGAGCGTCTTCTGAGATCTCCGCCGACACATAGCCGGCCACAGGGACATGGAGAGCATCAATGGCCACGCGCAACGCGCCAATGCCATCAAACAACGACACCACTAGCACCGGTTCAACGTCATCTTGGGAGAGGATGTCTCCCCTTGCATGCGCTTGGGCTGCCGAGACCCCATAGGGCGACAACTCTCTACTTACGCATAACCCACCGCCTGTGGTCGATGCATCGCTCGCCGTGACACACTCAGAGATCTTGGTGCGAAATTCCATGAAGGCTAAAGGGGTCAAAGCAATGAATCTCAACAGTTCCAACCCGACATGTTCGCCTAGGGCTTCACGCTTCCTTCCACAGCTCCCCAGCTCTATGATGCGCCTCCACAGTGCATTCAACCCAGCAAGGAGTGGTCGCCGGAACATAGCAATGTATACAAAACCTCCTCCTACTATCTGTAGCTCCTTCTGTGATGCGCACCCTCGGATCAACAGCTCACAGGCCAGCCTCACGTACTTGACCACCTTTGAACCTTTAGGCGAAGCGGTGCCTGCCTCGCCATCAAGCCATGCTCCCTGAACCTCCACCTTGACCTCTTGAGTGACTGCCTTCTTTGGATGCCTGGGCAGTCCCAAGTCCTCATAGGTCTGCCGCGCTGCTAAGGTCCACGCTGAGGGTTCGCCTGCCAGAGCCTCTGCCAGCCTACGGTCAACCTTGCGCAACTCATCATAGTTGTCCAAATACACCCGGTACAAGTGATCAGAGGCGGAAAACCCTCGGTCCCTACGGAGCTCCTGGTGTCCTGACGCCAATGCCTTCTCACCTCTGGGTGTACATGCTGAGCAATTGCGACCGAATTGATGAACCCCATGGGCAACACCTGGGTTACCAGGTGCCACCCTGTCCCACTGCAAGACGCTGGGAGGGCCTCCTGGGGCACCTCCCTTGCAAACCCCATATACTTCCACCAGGAAGTTGGGGTACGGAACAGGTAAAAGAAGCAACGAATGTCTTCAGATGAGGTTATTAAAAGCTGGCTATCTTCAAGGACCACTGCAGACATTCCCACAACACTTGGTAGAGTGGAAGTGTCTCCGACCAAGCTTCTACAACAGCTATTGGTTGGTACTAAGTTCATAATGAGACGGCAAACCTCGAACGGGTTACCATCTGCATCCATAGCTGTCTCCTGCTTACTTGCGGCAAACAGTCCATTCAGTAAGGGTCGCCCATTGACATGGTGGAGTTCTGAAACATGCATCACCCGACACACCCCACGGCTCAACAGCCCCGAGCAGACCTCCGCCCAGTGGCGCTGCTCGACCATGATGGCTGGGGTGCGCCCCAAGTGCTGGTCCTGAGGCGGCATCAAGAAGTTTTCGAACTCCCGCACGTAGTTGAGGGTCCCCCCATCACAGAAACTCTCCAACTCTAATGACCCTACAGCGTGCGGCATGGCTGCCTCAATCATCTTCCACTGAAAAGACCGGGCCACCTGAACCTCTTCACCAGAATAATCCACGCTTTTGGATTGGAAAAGTTGATGAAAGTCCAATTGGGGCAATTTCTCCTCCAACAAACTTGAAGTCTGCACCACCTGGTTTAACCTGTCAGTCAACGTTCTTCGAATACCTTCTTCTTTGGCACGTGTCTTGGTTTTGGTTCCATACAACAAATTCAATGCACGAATCAATGCATCCGAGTTGGGCGTTCTCTGTCCATGTAGTCCCAAGTCACTACCAAGCGGCAAGGGGAACAAGTCCCCCTTGGGCTGGCTGCAACGCTCTAATCTAGTTTCAACCACTGCCAATGCTCGAGACAATACGGGGCCCAACCCGGCAAATTCCATCTCCTTTTTTCGACAACACGCTTCAAGTGCTGCACGGCACGGCTCAAAGGCCAGTCGCCAGCCCGCTGCATTGTCTCCTGAGGTCGTCTCACGACGGTTCACTCGACTTGAGCCCCCGTCACAAGCTTGGGAGGAAGTGTCTGCAAGCGCCTCCCTTTCAAAAACCATAGTCTCCTCTGATGTAGGCAACCCCCAATGCTCTGCAACTCGATTTTGACACTGGGAGCTCACCAGAGGCCTCTTGCACAAATTCAACTCCCCTTCAATCGTGTCCAGCGCGGCCTTCTCGGCCTCTAGGCCCGACTCGACAGAAGGAGCCTTTCTCCTCAACAGCGGCGGTCGCGACATGCCACCTGTGCTGCTGTCACCGCATTGCCTCTTCGCCCAAGTTTCTCGCTGCTCCAACCCTCTCTTCTCACTCTCCTTTAGCAACCTGTCAATGCTCTCATCCTCTGCCTGTGCCATAGCCCTTGCTCCAACCATTGCACTGCCAGCCTCAACTTGCTTCAACCGACTTTCAACCTGACCTTGCTTCCACCTTGGGACGTTGTTTTGTAACTGTTGTGGCGTCATTGCTTATCCTTCTTCTTTCCTTTTCCTTTGCCTTTTCCTCCTCTGTCACCCTTCTCTCGTCCCTCCGGTGGATCAGGTCGGTTCTTTGTCTTGCCCCCATCTTTTCCGCCCATATTGTAGGGCCTTTGCACTGCACTTCTGTTGACTCAGCTGAGACCAATTCTAACTGGCGCGCAACTGTCCAATGCGCTCCACGAGCTTTTTGTTCGAGAGCTTTGAAGCGCTGGGATAGCAGATCAACCGCTCTCGCAGGATGCCCCCGAAGGAGCAAGTCAGCCGTTTGGCTGATTGTCATCAACTCTTGCCCCATTGAGGGGGACACTATCTGATGAAGCTCTGCACGGTAGTACTGCGTGTAGAGGGGAGGCAAAGAGCGGCGATCAGGGAGTGTAAGGTGCCGCTACTGGTCAGCAACGATTCCTTCATTCCCGCGATCGTCTGGGCCCCCAGGCATCCCGGGTAGCGAAGGGTCAGACGCAAAGCTCGCTTCTTCTCGGCGAACAACCCTTCTCCGGTTTCAGCCAGCTCGTCCTCTTCCGTTGATGAACTCCCGGATGTAGAGTCCTCACTCGAGGAATGCTTCCTCTTCTTTCCCTCCTTTTTTCCCAGCTTGCGCGCTCTTCTCATCAGCTTGGAGCGCTCCTCAACTCGGGGGTCCAAGCATGTTCCTCCAAATAAGGTCTTCAGACTCTTTTGGCCCTTCTCTTGCAACGGCTCCTCACCACTGTCATCCTTCACCTGCTCAACCTCCTTAAGCTTCTTCTCTCTGTCCTTTGCCTTCTTTTTCTTTTTCTTCTTCTCCTTCTCCCCCTCATCACTGGGAGACTCTTTCTCCCCTACCATTGCTCCTTTGCGGGCAGCGTAGTGCTCTCTCAGCTTGGCCATCTCGTCGATCTCTTTTGGCGCGGCCTCCACTGCCTCGAAAAGCGTATGCCACGGCTGCTTCTTCTCTCCTACCTCCCAAAAACCCGAGGCGTGGAGCACATCTGGCCCTGTTGCAGTATGCGGACAATCCTTCGGACAAATGTGCAACTGCATCGTCCTTCGGGCCGGATCGCTCAGTACCTCCACCAGTTTCTCTGTCTGAGTGCCGGTCACCTGGAACTCGAGGTAGTCGGAGTCACGGCCCAAACCTGTGATATATCCAGCGACCTTCACAAGCCCATCATAGTAGTAACCGTAGGCCAATTCGACCAACCCCAAACAGCGCAACTGGGCTGCCGTGAGCTCAAGTAGGTACGTGAACTTGTCCGTCTTCAACTCCTCCTCCATCTTCGCTGCCGGCCGCTTCCTCGAGGGTGTACTGGCGGCAGGGCGACGGCGTACCGCCATCACCACCAACGGTCGTTGTACTTCTCCTGCTTCGCCCTCTTGGTGATGCCCTTATTCGTGGCGGTATGCCAACGGGGTGACTGCTCCAAGGGATGGGGCCGATCCACCCACGGCCTCGACCTCTGCGAAGGGGTGGTCGACTGGGCTCACGGGTTGGCGCAGGGGGTGGATCTGGTGGTGGCCCTGGCGGCGTGTGAGGGCTTTTGGGCCTTGGCGGAGTAGGAAGCCGCTTTCGTTCCTTCCTCTTCGCGTCCCTCACTCTGGAACCCGTCACTGAGCTCCCCAGGCTGCTAGACCTCCTGCGCCTCTTCCTATCCTTCTTCTCCTTTTCTCTCCTTTTCTTCTCTTTCTTTTTTCTCCTTCGCCTCGATGAACTGCTGGTTGAGGAACTGCCCTTTTTCTTCTCTTCAGTGTCCTCCTTTTTGGGAGTAACCTTCAACTCCCTTTTGGGACTTCCAGCCTTCTCCTTGTCTTCCGGGGCGACCTCCTTCTTCGGCTCGGCCTTTTCCTTTGCTGCTAGTCCTTGGCTGGACGATCGATCGCGAAGAGCTCCTTGGGGCGGTTGACTAGGTCGAGGCACGACACGGGTCTGGCCTCCCCTCAACTGGCGGTGCCACCTGGGACTGCGACCTTGGCTGGACTGGTGGGGCTTTGGCTGGAGCTGGGGCTGCACTTGGAGCACTGTCTGAATGGCCTGGAGCTTCTCTTGGCGACTTGGGCAACTCACCTTTTGTAGTTTCCTTCCTCCTCAACGGGCTTCTCTCGCGGCCGCCTGCACTTTTGTGGTTGTGGGCTTTTTCTTCTTCTTCTTCAAGTTCATTGACCTTAGCTACCCACTCTGCAAGGAGTGAAAAGCACCCCTGGACGAAGATGACCGCCTCCTCGTCCCTCTTGGGAGTCAGGATGTTCCGGATGGACACCTGTAGCTGCCAGAGCTTGCGACACGGAGCGCAAGTGGCCAGCCCTGACTCCCTTACCACGAAGTGCTGGCAACGGTCGCAAACTGGGAGGGAGTCGCGATGACTCCCTCCCATCAACTCACCCTTTCTGAGCCCGATGCTACGGTGAAAAAGAACTGACTCTGTGCTTAAATATGGGGATATTAATCCATATATATAAGGGACATCGCTACTAGGAGCAAAGGGCATCGCTACTAGGAGCAAGGACGCTATTTCTGGGCTCCTGGCCTTACTACTAGGAGCAAGAAGCTATTAGAAACAAGAAGCTATACAGAGGACCATCAGTTTACTATTAGTTTTTACAGAGAGGACCATCAGTCCACTTGCCACTGATGTCCAGGCCACTGAGCACTTTCCCGATGGGCCAGCTGTTCGTCCAGGGAGAGAAAAGCTCCTGTGGAGGCCATGGCTAGCAGGTTGGAGGCCATCGGTAGCAGGTTGGAGCGAATGACTCATCCCCACACGAAGCGCAAACCGCGCAGACCGAGATTCCCACCGCGGAGTCCTTTGGTGAGAAGTTAGGGATTTCCAACATGCATTGAGTTGGAATTGAGTTACTATAGTGACCTGGAAGCATGCAACCATTGTGCAACCTGGGACAAGGATGTTCCTGTGAAAGGAATTTGCAAAACACCTAGAAGCCAAGTCCTCAAAACAGGGCCGCCCCAAATTCCAGTAGCGTTCTTGCTCCTAGTAGTAAGGCCAGGAGCCCAGAAATAGCGTCCTTGCTCCTAGTAGCGATGCACTTGTTTCTAATAGCTTCTTGTTACTACTAGTAAGGCGCTTGTTACTAGAAGCGATGCACTTGTTCCTAGTAGCATCCTCTCGTGACAAGGTTCGATTCACCTCTTCACTGCGGTGCCGTGACCAGCTCCTCGTCTGCGACATCCTGCAACTCGGGCAGCCAATTCCTGGAGGACGGAACATTGGCATGGCAGCTCACAAGGAAACGCAGGACCATGATGGCATGACTATCTTTACTGCTTCTTTTGTGTACAAACTCACCCCAGAATCCCCGCCCTGCCCCGCCGTGCCCAGCCTCACGTAGTCACTGACCTCTGGGCGTTGCATGGCCAGGTCGTAGTAGCGGGTGCCACCTACTCGGTTACGCTTCGCCTCGTTGGTAGGGACCACGCCTCATGTGGTGCAGTGTGAGGCGTCACGACAACGGTGGAGTGGAGCTGCTCTTTTGGACACAAGGGGGAAAAAAAAAGAAAACAAACTAGAAGAAACTCCATGCGGTTGTTAGTCGTCTTTGGATGAATCCCCAAGCCCAACGACAGTCATCCCTCCAGGACATGTCTGGAGGAGTGTGCACCGGACAATCGGACCAGTAGCACTCGCACATACAATTGCATCGTACTAGCATGGTGCAACCTTTCCAGGGCTAGAATTCTGTAGTGGTAACAGGTGCCACGCTAGTAGGAACAAGTGCCTTACTAGTAGTAACAAGAAGCTACTAGGAACAAGTGCCTTACTACTAGGAACAAGAATGCTAGTAGTTATTTTGCCGGGCAAAATGAGGAGCAAGGAGCCTCATCTCGACCTTGGGGGATGTTCGATTCACACAACAGGGTGATTTTGGCATCGCAAGTACGTTGGAGGCCATCGCTAGTAGTAACAAGGGCATCGCTACTAGTAGCAAGGACACTACTCGTAGCTCCTGGCATTACTACTACTTGAGAGAGGAAGGGGGTGAACGAAAGGTACCGCAGCACTGCGTGTGGAGAGAAACCGCCTACCTAGCTTAAAACCATTGATATTGCGTGAAAGGTTGTATGGGAGAAACGAACTTGTGTGTTTGGATCAGCCAAGTTTGTGGCCACTTTGAAGCTTACATAGCTTAACACCATCGATATTTACAGGGTTTTGTGCCGGGAAGGCGCACAAAACCGTGTAAATACCGTGGTTTTTTACAATTTTGAAGCCTCCGAAAGCCGAAAAACCCCTTTCCGACACAATCTTTCCTGGCTTTGGGTCATTTTTCGGCAATTTTTCAAAACCGAGACACGTCAAAAACCATCAGTTTTTATGAGGTTTTTTGCCGAACAGCCACATAAAGCCCTGTAAATTGCATGGTTTGAGGCCATGCTTGAAGACAGGAGGAGCTGAAACCACTGGTATTTACGGTGTTTTATAGCCGTCGATCCAGAGGCGCACCACGGTTGTGTGCTGGGAAAGCGCAGAAAACCATGTAAATACCATCGTTTTCTGCCGGGAAGGTGCACAAAACCGTGTAAATACCATAGTTTTGTGCAATTTTGAAGCCTCCAAAAGCCTCAAAAACCCTTTCCGACAAAATCTTTCCTGGTTTTTGGCAATTTTTCGGTCATTTTTCAACCCGAGACGCATCAAAAACCATCGGTATTTACAGTGCTTTTTGCCGGACAGCCACAAAAAACGCTGTAAATTGCATGGTTTTCGGCCACTGTTGAGGACTGGAAGAGCTGAAAACACGGGTATTTACGGTGTTTTCGAGCCGTTGACCCCGCCTGGCGCGCCAGGGTGGAGTTGAAAGGGGGGCGGCCCCCCCCCGGCCAGCAAACGAGTATGTCGGGGGCCAGGCTCCACTCCGGGTACAATACATTTTTGCTAAAGCAAAAGGAAAACTCAGGTAGCGTAACCGCTACCTTTCGTGAGTAGCAAGAAGTTACGAGGAACAAGAAACTACTAGGGGCTCCTGGCATCGCTACGAACGGAGCGATCGGACGCTAGTAGTAGAGTGGATCCAAAGGAATCTCTCTTGCTTCCTTTTTGCAATGTGAAAGGTCATCGGCCTTCAACCACTCGCAGCCATCCGACTGCTCTGGGTACTTCTGATCACCCTGGTCTTTTGTGTTTGTCTTAGCTGTTTGGTGACAGGAACCCCAACGCTAAATATTTGTGCAATGATGAAACAGACCCTTTACCTTCTGTTTTTCTTATTCATTCTTCATCTCTTTTGTTTCTAGGAGCAAGAATGCTACTAGTAGCTCCAGCCATTACTTACTACTAACAAGAAGCTACTAGTAACAAAGGGCATCGCTACCAGGAGCTCTCCTTTGTCACTGGACACCGACTCGTCTGGCACCGTGGCACCGCGCCTGCAGAGCGAGCCCATTGGCCCCAGTTGCTGTGCACGTCGTAATCCACGAGCGTCGCCTCTCGCGCTCCACGTGGTAGTTGTACTAGTTGACATGTTGAATATCTAAGGAGCTTATGAATAACATCGCTCTTGGGTTGGAGGCCATCGCTCTTACGTTCGAGGCCATCGCAAGTAGAGTGGAGACCATCGCTAGTAGGGTGGAGGCCATCGCAGTTGGATCTTTTCTGATGCTAAGGACACCTCGGTGAACTGGTAGAAACAAAATATCGACAAGATCACCTGCGGACTGTTCCCTTACTTGGGTACCCAAGCAAGGCACTTTGTATGCAGCGTCCGCAGTCTGCCCACAAAATCCCCAAACCAAATGAATAGTGCGAGGGCTTCTTCAAGGCAACTCCCACATCCCTCAGGCAGCTCGCTTGAAGAAGCCTGAGCTTTCCTGCGTCCAGGTAGTTACTAGCTTCTGGGTCGCTTCGTAGCTTACTTTAGCTTCTTCCTTCCTTCCTTGCTTGCTTCCTTGCTTGCTTAGTCAGCACCTCAAGATCTACCCCCCTTTGAAAAAAGGAAAGCAAATACCGCCGTACCTCGAACCAGTCCGCGCCCACGCGCCAGTCGATCTGCAAGTCTTCGATGAGAAAAGCCGCCACGAACTGCCTCGCAAACACAGCAGTTGCTGCGGGGTAGGCTGTCGAGTGGTTGAGGTTGGCAGGGCTTGGCTGTGACACACGTGGGGAAAGGATGAGGGTTCATGTCATGAGGGTTCATGAGTTCATGTTGATTTCTGTTTTGCTTGGGCCTCAAGAAACATGCATCTCTCCTCTATCCCAGAGATATTGGAGACGTCCCAAGTCGAAGCATGATTCATTCCGTGCCAAGCCCCTGTGATGCTGGCAAATGTTGAGTTGAAACTGCATGGTCATGCTTTGGTGAGCAGTTTAGTGTGAACCATGCCAAAAGATTTGGTATGATTGTCACTCTACCGGTTGATTGAAGACATTTGGGACTTGTACGTGTGTGCAAGGACCCAGCTAAAGTGGGCAAATGCTTGGACTTCCTTAGGGTGGAGGCAATCCTTGGTAGGGTGGAGGCCATCGCTGGTAGGTTGGAGGCCATCGCTAGTAGGTTGGAGGCCTTCGGTGGTAGGGTGGAGGCCATTTCTTCCTAAGTAGTCGCTTACTTGTGGCTACTAGCACCTAACTTCTACTAGCTGCCTACCTCTATCTAACCTACCTCACCTCTTCTAGCGGCCTAACCCCGCCGGGCTAAAAAACAACTAGACGACGGGTGGCCCGAGAGCGAGACATGTGATTGTCCAGCACTGTGGAAAAGATATATAGAAAGAGAGAAAGAAAGGATGGACGTGAAGGAGTGACAGTGTGGATGTGCAGGTGCGATACAGATGTGTAGATGTATGGAGGTGGAGAGGTAGATCTGTGGATGCGAGCGTGCGAAGATGTAAACGGACAGAGGCGAGAGAAACGATATGTCTTAGGTTCGTAAGAAGCCAGTCTCACTTCAAACGGCTCAAAACAAGTCAGTCCCATTTCAAGAAAAAACGGAGTAAAACGTAAGCAGGTCGATGCGATCCCGTCCCAACTCTTGCAAACTATCACGAAGCCATTCCGCTCCCCTGTTCCTGCCATTGTTGCGGAACTCCTCCCATCGCATACACTCGGACGAGCGCCGTGACTGGTCCATTCTCCCGCACAATCCCTTCAAACAGTCACCGCATTACTCTGACGCGCGTCCCAGGTACGCGACTCGAACCAAAAGCTTGTTCCGCAACTCAAATTCTTCAATTGCTCCACAGAAAACCGTGAACAAACCCCTCGATCGTGCGAGCGAGGTGATTGACAAACAATTCCAAGTTAGCCGACAGTTCACATCGACTGGTCCCAGACCCATGACCTCTGGCTGCAAATTAAAATATGAAGCGAAAAGATGTGTAGAAAGAAAGAAGGAGAGGGCGGAGGTGAAGGAGTGACAGTGCAGATGTGCAGGTGTGATATAGATGCGCAGCTGTGTGGAGGTGGAAAGGCACATATGCAGATGTGAGCATGTCAAGATACTCTCGTGGAACACTCTCTCTGGGACGCTCTTTTGGGACACTCTTGGTCTACATTGCTCGCCATCCACACACACGATCTCCCAGAGAGTTGCCCACGCGCAGGACAAATCACGCTCTCGCCTGCAATTCGCGTACGAGACTTCCTCCAAAAGCGAGGCGCCAAGTCTCCAAAACGAACGTTTCGTACGAGACTTCCTCCAAAAGTGGAGCGCGACCAATCCAAAACGCACTCTCACCTGCATTTCGCGCGCTCGACACGCACGATCTTCGCAAAGGGTTGCGCCGGACCGGGACAGATCGCACTCTCGCCTGCATTTCGCGCCCTCGACATGCACGATCTCCTCAGAGGGTTGCCCGCGACCGGAACAAATCGCACTCTCGTACTACATT